ATAGACTAAAATAATTTTGCAAATATCCGAGTTTCTTATTTCACTGTTCTCCCATCATAACGCTTTACACAAAGCAGCCAAGACTATAAATCATGAGCTGTTGTAAAAATCCTAATAAACATGTATTTTCTCATTCAAATAGTTGAGCTTCTGCTGTAGCTCAGCCTGTCATATATGTCAGCAATAGGAAGCTTATGTTTTGATATGAAAATGGGCAAGCAAATACTATAAAACCAGTTGTGTGGCCTTGAAGGGACCTGCAGAGGTCCAGGAGAAGGGACCTCATTTAAATCAGAAAATCAGTTTCACACAGGAAAATGGGAGCTGCATGGAGCTACGGGGCTCATCAAAGAAGGAACTGGGATTCGGAAATCCAGGTCTTCATCCTGTCCCTAGCTCATAGTCTCTCCTAGTGAAGCTAGAAGAACAGATTCTGATATTGAGCCATGTCTACCTCAGAAGCCAAGGAGAGGTCTCATTTTGGCCCTCCTCAATAATCTCTCCTCGTCCTAATGATTTCCAGGCAAAGCGTATTTTGAACTTGAATTAATCAAATCCAGTCTTCTGTCATGAGGTAATAGACAAACACTCAGTGCTTACGACAAGATGCCAGTTCAAATCCCAGCTGTGCCATTTTGTGAATTAAAGAAGTTTTGTCTCTGTGTGACTGTGACTTGTCTAGGCAAGTTGAATGGAAGGAGTATTATAGGATCTGCTGTTTTTCTGACTTGAGAGTTTTGTGAGCATAATGCCTTGAAAGCCCATCCGTGCTGTGGCATTCATCAAAATGTCTTGTAACTTTTAAAGCTGGTGCTATGCCTGTCACAGTTTCTTTATCTGCTAGTGTACACTCACGTTGCTCCTTTTAGCAGCTGTGAGTGCTGTTGCTGTGAACATGAGGATGCAAGTATCAGTTTGAGTCCCTGTGTTTAATCCTTTGTGGTGTACTCCAGAAGTGGGCCTGCTTCACCGTATTTGAGTCTTTGAAGTGTTCTCCAGCTTTTGTGTTCTCATGAATAGCATCTTCTAGCCGTACAACAAAAATCATGTGATTTACTAAGAAATCTCAAGCTACATGTCTATTTTCTAGAGGCCCAGTTTTTACATTGACTTAATCAATGCCTCCCCAAGTGTTTCTTATGGCTAGTTTGGCAAGAAAGGATTCTATGACAAAAAAAAAAAATGCTACATTTTCCCTTAAAGACTCAGAATAGATATTTACATGAAAAGTCTGGAATATACATATGCTTTTAAATGTATGTTTTAAGATCTAAAAAAAAAAAAACCTGTCACTTCGCTATCTCTAAAGAAAAAGTTAGGGTAGAAAGCTATTTACATTTAGCATTCAGGGCCTGTCTGAGATTAGCATTATATCCAGAGCTTTGATTTTCTAAGTCCAAAGAAGCATAAAAGTGGAAATAAAATACATGCCAGTACATATTCTACATAAATTTACATAATTCAAGCCAATGCTTGAAAGCATATTGCAAGAGAGGGGACTGCTAATGGAGACGTTTTCTCCTAAGGGTTTTAAACATATCCTAAGGTTGGCATATAGTGTGTGCTGAGCCGTACACTTTGATTAGTTTTATACTGTGCAAATTATGTCTTTCCAAGCTGTCCAAAATTATTATAATGTAAAGTTTTGATTCATGTGGTTTATTCTCAGTCAAAACAACCAAATTCCGTGTGATGCATTAAACTTTGGGCAGTGAGTGAAAATGGGTTGTTCAGGAAACGATGCTGGAAATATGCAGTTGTGTTGCTGCCTCGACATCTTTAATCAGGAAAAGTCTGGTGGAGCAATTCTTTATATGTGATAAAATAAAATGTGAGAATTGAAATAAATATAAAATTATATTTAGTATCTTCAAGTGTGGAAAATCTTCTAAGCATAATAAATTAGACTTTAGAAAAGGTTTTGTTAATACAAATTTTTAAATGTATGTAAAAACTGGAGCTGGAGAGACGGCTCGGTGCTTAAGAGTACTTGCTGCTCTTTCGGAGGACCTGGGTTTTGTGTTTAGCACCCATGTCAAACTTCCAAGCACATTCCAAACTACCTGCTCCCTTTGTCTGCCACTAACCAGATCCCAGTTCATTCCTTTCCCATAATATCCCCATGAAAACTTTCACACCACCACTGGTGCCCGGGCTGCCCAAAGCTCTTTTTCTCCCAATATTCTCAAGTTTTTCTCAAAAATAACTCTTAACCCCAGTCTTCAGTCAGTCTTCTGTATGTATGTTTAAACCCTCCTCCTGAGTCTCCTCCTCTTGAGTATCCTCCTCCTGAGCATCCTCCTCCTGAGCCTCCTCCTCCTTCTGAGCATCCTCCTCCTCCTGAGCATCCTCCTCTTGAGCCTCCTCCTCCTGAGAATCCTCCTCCTGAGAATCCTCCTCCTGAGCCTCCTCCTCTTGAGTATCCTCCTCCTGAGCATCCTCCCCCTGAGCCTCCTCCTTGTGTTCTACAAAGAGGAACTGATATTTTAGCCAATGCATTCAGTTTTAACGATAGCAAAGGTTGTGCATAGGATGCCCCTTCTATTAGTTTTTATCTGTGTTTTCATCAAAATAGTTCCTATCTTGTTCTTCTAAAAGAAAATTTTTGCACAAGTCCAATACATTTTGATCATAGCCATTTCAAATCCTGTCATGATCCCCCACCTCTCATTTTCCAAAATCATGTCCTCTCTCTCTCTCTCTCTCTCTCTCTCTCTCTCTCTCTCTCTCTCTCCTGAGCATCCTCTTTCCTCTCTCTCCAATATAGAGATAATTGTATTATATAGAGACAGAAAAATTATATGTATCTTCAGAAACTGATTTTGTCCCTCAGCAATCATAGCTTCTCCATGGAGGGGGGCAGGGGATACTGTGAGCCTTATCCCACCCACACTGGGATGTTGGTTGGTGTGTTGTTGTGGAGGTCTTGGCAGAAGCCATGGATGTTGGGAGTTTATGGAAGCAGCATCCCTGCCACATCCAGCTGAAACTCCTTTGCAGCAGCCCTCCAGGTCGTCTGGCTCTCAGCATCTTTCCGGTCCCTCTTCATGAAGTCCCCACAAGGACTCATATTGCTATCAGAACCCCAGGGAATGTCAGGAAGTAACCTAATCCCGTTTGAACACTAGCATCAGTGTTTTGAGGTTGGTACTTGCCCTGTTTGGGGTGTGATTTAACACAATGGTTCCCGTGTCCGAGGCTTGATCCCACTGTGGTGGTTTTGAGAGGCAATGGGAGCTCTAAGGGGTGGAGCCCAGAGCAAAGTCACGAAATAGGTACTCTCCATTGTTCTGGCTTCCTGTCCCCCTATCCCTCCTACCTTGATACCACATGCCACGGTAAGATGTAGTCACATTGACCTTTGAGAGAGCCTATGCCAGTTGGCATTTTCGGTCTTTGGAGTCTCAGGCTCCAGACTGCTAACTAAATAAACCTCTTTCCCTTGTGAAGCTCTTGCCTCAGGTATTTCATTATGTAACAGAACACAGACTGATATAATGGTGCATGGCAGGTCCAGTCCATAGAACACGGCAAACAGGTTTTCATCCTTTGATAGAAGGGTCCAGTAACACTGAAAACATTGCTTAAACGTTTTTCATGATAAGATCTCTAAGACTTGAGATTATTCCAAAATCTCATGCATATTTCTTAGGTTGTTAATCCTGCGGTGGGGCAAAATTTTTGGGTATAGTTCCAAGAGGTTACATTCTCCCCATGGGCACCATACAAGTAGTTTGCCTTTTAAATTTCCTGGGGTGGCAGTCAAAAATAACATCGGATCACTTTTCCCATATTTTATTATTATCCTCCTCCAGAGAGAATTATCCAGATCAAGCACTATGAAGATTCTGTATGAAAACACAGGCGCAGCTATTCAAAGACTATTCATGGTCACAGCCCACAGAAACACCTGTGTGCATTCTCTCATTGAAGGAACTGCTCATCCGTAAGATGGCACAGTCTGAAAATCAGGTCTGCCCAGCTTATGTCACCCCCCCCCACATTGTGTTTAGCCTGCACACCAGAATGTCATACTAATAAATCCTTCGTTACTCTTTGCATCCAGGCTCTGTGGAGCAAGACGCCAAGTCCTATTGGGTTAGACTCAAAGAGACCTGGATCTGCTTTACACAGTGCACGAGGCACTGTGCATGGTTTAAGTTCACACAGCTCTTTAATTAGCCCCTAGTGCTAACCGCTTATAGGATACAGAGGCATTATATCCTGTGAATTTTAAATTAACGAGTCAGACTCCCCCAGGACCTGCACAGTACTGTAATTACTACTAATTGGCATTACACATGATTAACAAGTGAAAACATGGTTTGTCCGAAAATGTTTCTTTTCTCCCATGAATCCTAAGAACCTGGCGGATGCATGCAAAGATGAGGAGGGTTTTACCCAGCAGTGTACGATGGCCCAGCTTTGCACACCACGTCTCTACATGCAAGAGAGGAGAGAGAAAGAAAACAATTAATGCTACAGATAATTGGTCCTCTAAGAGCTTACATCAATGTTAAGTGAAAAACAAAGTCCTAAATCACAGGATTGGCACAATGTCACTTTTCTCCACAGCGCGGACGCACACAGGAAGACTGGAGATACGTATATACTAAAGAATAGAGGACAATTAGTTATCTCCGCGTAGTGCCAGCTGTGTTGGCATTTATCCGAGTCATTTTCCTTTCATAGCACAATAAAGCAAAGGTCTTTGTCTTTGTGCTAAATTCATGCATTCTTGCAGAATAAAAGCAGCAAAGAGGCGCCTTTAGAATGTTCGCATCCTTCATCTCTCTCAGTCCCTGTATTCGGCTCTGAGGATTCCGTGTCGATAACAATTGACAGATCTTTAAATCTGGAGAGGAAAAGCAGGATTCTAGACGTGAGGAAAATCAGATTTGGAGGAGGCTGGTGCACACGCCCAGCCTCAGTTCACACCAACTCCGTTGTGCCAAGGCCCCGCCCTGGAGAGTGCACTGATGTCTGTCCTTCTCTCCTAGAGCCCAAGATGATTGTCCTGCTCTACGTGACAAGTCTTGCTATCTGTGCAAGTGGACAACCTCGGGGCAATCAGGCCAAGGGAGAGAGCTACTCTCCAAGGTACATCTGCAGCATTCCCGGCTTACCGGGTCCCCCAGGCCCTCCTGGAGCAAATGGCTCCCCTGGGCCCCATGGTCGCATCGGCCTTCCTGGAAGGGATGGTAGAGATGGCAGAAAAGGAGAGAAAGGAGAAAAGGGCACGGCAGGTAAGGGCTCTGCAAACACCCCCTCCACCCCTCCTTAAACTCCTCCCTTGGTTGCTTCTTCTCGGTGGGAACTGCCCCTTCAATCGGTCAGTTCTCCGCTTCACCTTCAGTGATCCTAACAATGTCCTTTCCCCTGACAATGCTTCAAATGCGGCTTTGGCTCTTTCCAGCCTTAGCTGGCTGCAGTGACAACTCCCTTGGTGGACGCTGTAACATTGGGAAGGTAAGAAACCGGAGCCTGGTTAAAGGCACTGCAGGAGAGGGACACAGATGGGCATGCACCGTGCAGAACGGCTGGAGCTGGGCTCCCACCAACTGATGCCGGATGACCCAACAACAGCTGGAAGCGTGGAGGTCTGCATTGACAAACAGATGGGCCAGAGCAGGGAAAGAATTGGGATTCCGAAACTCAGTTTCCCACCCTGCTCAGAGCCGATGTTCTAAACAAGTCTTCCTCAAGCTCTTCTCTGTTCTTGCATGCATACAGCTAGAAGGACAGTGGTGTCACATAGCCGGCCTTTCCTCACGCCGCACGCTCCCACCTGTCCTGTTGCATAGCTCTCCACGATAGTACGCTTGTCCTCTCGTCCTCCATCATTTCCAGGCTTCCCGTCTTACAGATAAGTCGGCCTGGGAAGCTTGCCAGACCCCACCGTCCTTCAGAGGAAACCAAATTGAAATTCCCCAGAGGCTGTGTTAACTCCACAGGAGGAAAGAATGTGAAATCCATCTCTGAAAAATGCGCTTCTTAGTGGACAAGTGAGACAAAAGACAAGAAAAGAAAAAATACATAGATCTAAAACGCACGCTTCTACCCGATCACCACACCTGATTTACTGGGGTTCTGAGAGATAGTGCCACAGTATATATCCAGATTATTGGCTAAGGGTCATTTCCGAATGCTCCATGCAGAACACATGGAGCAAACCCAGAGCTGACAGATGTGTGAACATTGTTCAATAGTAAAGAACATTATGTAAAGATTCAATGTCAGATAAACTTTGAATTTGGAGTTTAAACGTAGTTATTCAAAGGTGACTGTCTATAAGGTAGCTTGTAGTAAGGGGCTGCGGGCAGGCCTGCTTTTCATCCTGCCCAGCTCCCACACAGCTAGCTTAGCCCCAGAAATAATAACACACAAGTTATATTCATTTAAGCACTGCCTGGCCCATTATCTCTAGAGAGTTAGTTACTGACTAACTCTCATATCTTGATATTAACCCATTTCTATTAATCTGTATCACACCACGAGGTGTGGCTTACCGGGAAAGATTCAGCATGTCTGACCTGGTGGCTGGCTCCATGGCATCTCTCTCACTTCCCTTCTTCCCAGCATTCTATTCTGTTTACTCCGCCTACCTAATTTTCTGTCCTATCAAAGGGCCAAGGCAGTCTCTTTATTGACCAATGAAAATAACACAATAGACAGATAACCCTCCTCCATTAGTAGCTCATGTGAATATAGATTACTACTGAGCCATGATTACAAATATCTTTAAAATTCAATGGCACAGAGATGATTGTTTTCTATGACCGACCCTCTCAGCTTGCTGTGTCTAAAAGGAAGCACGTAGTGGTTTATCACACAAGCACTGACACCCGAAAAACAGACTCAATCTTGGCTCTTTCAGTTACTTTACTTAGCATCCTTGGGCAAATAGCGTCTTTGAGCCTCGTTTGAAAGTTGGCAATAGTAAGGGCCATTGTGAAGTTTAAGTGTAGTCATGTATACAGAATGTCCTATAGAATAAGTGCTTGGGCTAAGTACTTGTAAATGTCACATATTGTTAATTATTAAATTGTGATCCACAGGACAAAGATAAGTCTGTGGCCACTCAAAGCCACAGAGTAAACAAAAATGATTAATATAACCATAAGGTAGTTCCACTGCTATTTCAGATAGGATTTCATGTCCTTAAATGCTACAGTTTTAGCTCTATGAGGTTAGGGGCAGTCCTGTATACATCAATCTATTCATCCCTCTATGTATCTGTGCACTGCTTGCTCGGAAACATTTTTGTTTGCCTCTAGCTATCAGCTTCATTTCTGGAGACTATTTTTCAGCCTCCACACTAATACCATGTAGTGCTGCATAGTTGTTATGGTAGGGTGAAGTGTTAGGTATGGTGTTTGACAGTGTGTCCCTCGATATCAGTGGCACACCTTTCCCAGCTCCAGCAACCACAAATGGCTTTAGACCATTGGTTCTCATCCTGTGCATTGCAACCACTTTGGGAATCAAATGACCCCTTCACAGGGGTCTAATATCAGATATCATGCATATCAGATATTTGCATTATGACTCATAACAGTGGCAAAATTTTCAATTACGGAGTAGTAACAAAAATAATTTTATGGTTGACGGTCACCACAATGTGAGGAACTGTATTAAAAAGCATTGCAGCATTAGGAAGGTTGTGAACCATAGCACCAATTCTAATTGTCCTTAATAATAAAAACTCAGAGTAAGGTATAGGGATTAATGCTGGAGATCAGAGAAGCAGAGCAGTCAGCCGCTAGAGAGTTCTTACTCTCATTCTTACCAATGCTCAGACCAAAGGTGCAATCCTGTCCTCAGACTGCATCCTCTGTCTGCATCCTCAGACTACATCTCCAGACTGCTACCTCAGCTGCATCCTCAGACTGCATTTCCACCGAAACCTCAGACTGCACCAAGTTCCTGTCTCCTCCCGCCTTACATTCCTTTCTCTTTCTTCACAGTCGTATCATTCCTGTGTCCAACTCCCTAGTGCTGAGATTAAAGGTGTGGGATCCCAAGTGCTGGGATCACCTTTGTGTGAGCTGTTTCTCTTGAAGACAGATTCAATCTCATGTAGCCCAGGATGGGTTTGAACTAACAAGAGATTCCTCTGCCTCTCTCTCCTGAGTCCTGGGGTTAAAGTTGTGTGTCACCACTCCCTGGCCTCTAGTGGCTTAGTTCTGCCCTCTAATCTTCAGGCAAGCTTTACTTGTTAGATCACAAACAAAATCTCACTACAGAGAACCACGGCTCTAGACATTGAAAGCTGGCCCCAGGGACACTGAGAACCTGTTCTAGTCACTGGGAACACCCGCATTTGTCAGGGAGTGAAGGGAAAGGATCATCTAAGTACAGCTTTGCAGTAGCTCCAGATACTGACCATATGTTGGGAACTTGTTTATGTTAACATTCACCATTCTAATCTGCAGTAACCGTAACATACAATAAAATAACACTACAAATGAAACTACTGGAACTCAAAAACAAAGAGACTTTTCCAACTGAAGATTACGTAAATCCAGCAGACACACCTAAGTCTAAACATGGCTCAGAGAGGAAAGATAGACTTGACTGTCATTGTGAAAGGAAGCAGACATTACTCGGAAACCACATTTGACAAGCGGCTGGCAAATGAGTCAAAGCCTTGGAAGTGCTGCCCAATGCTTCCTCTCCAGTGACAGCACCAGGTCTTTTCATTCCTGCACCCTTCTTGGATACCATATTGCCTTCACCTCACCAAGTCCCAGCAAAACTAATTGTATTCTTCTTCCAACTCTGTCACACCCTAACTAGAAATGAAAAGATTACACCAAATTATAAATTCTCTGCTAAAACATATCTCACTGCTCTGTAGCAATCATCATAATATATCAATCATATTCAATTAAATCTAAATGCATTCTCATTCAAATATTTCTAGAACTATCCCACAAAGCGTTGTTATATTTTTTCGTTGTGAGTCTAATCTTTAACAGTGGAGCCATCTGTCAAACCCTCAGGAAGCTCTTTTAATTCCAGTTTATTATAAAAATTTTAGTATGCATAAGCCAATCACATTGAGTCACTATCACATACAGAAGGAAGGAAGGAGGGACAGAAGGACAGATGGATGACTAGACAGAAGATGCATGGATAAAAGGAAGGAGGGAGAACTAAAAAGAAACTATATGGTCAAGCTTCAATACGTACACAGAGTTTAATCCTTAATGCATAATGATTTATTCTCCTGAGAATATAGTCTCCTAGTAGATGGGAAAATTCTCCATATAAAAAGGAAGAGGTCCTATATATTACTATTATTATTACTATATATACTTCATGACTAGGTATATCTGGCAATTTGGAATATTAAATATATATTACAATAGAAAATTTAAGCACTGAGGTTATAAAGAATTCCTCATATTTATAATTCGCCTTTCAGTGAATGCAAATGGGAAGCCTAAGCCAGGAGGATCTCACTCCTTCTTCAGATTCACAGCCCAGTCCACAGCTAAAGTAGGTTCTTGTAGTAGGAAGGCCGCTTGTTTATTTCCTGGCCACCCAGACTCCTTAAATAAACACACAGAAACTATATTAATTAAATAACAGATTGGCCTATTAGTTTTAGCTTCTTATTGGCTAGCTCTTATATATTAATTTAACCCATTTCTATTAATCTGTGCATCACCACATGGTAGTGACTTACCGGCAAAGTTTCAGCATGTCTGTCTCTGGTGGCAGCTCCATGGCTTCTGCTAACTCTGCCTTCTTCTTCCCAGCATTCAGTTTAGTTTTCCCTTCCTATCTCTACTCCTTTGCCCTATCAAAGGCCAAGATAGTTTCTTTCTTAACCATTGGTGTTCTCAGCATACAAAGGAGAATCCCACAACAGGCTCTAAGCCAGGAGGACCTTACCCCTTCATCAGATTCACTACCCAGTCCACAGCTGAAGCAGGTTCTATCTCAGCCATACTGAGTCGCTGTTGACTATGTTGCTCACTAAGTTGGGGTAGACTTTTATCTAATGTCTCTGTATTACAAATGGAGCCCTCGAAACCAGAAAGGGAGGAACTAACCCAAAATCTTATAAGCAGCATGATTTGAGCTTGTAACGAAATCCTATGGTTAACATTTTTACTGACACACAAATGATTTTATTATTGTATTGAAGATCAGTGATGAAGAATAGGTTAAGCTACTGTTGAAACCCAAATACAAATTTCAGACTTTGTAGTCTTTGACTCAAGAACAACAAAAGAAAGTTTATGTTCCATTTCTACCCGCGAAGAATCAAGCAGTGTAGGAGCTCAGAAACTCCTGTCAGGTGAGTTCTGCTCAGTCCAGTAGAGTTTTAACTCAACAGGACCATCTGCATTAAGGGGCCACAACTGTAGTGGATAAGAATATAGATTTTTTGTCTCACCAACAGCGGTGGCATTTGTTGACAACAACCTCCATGCATCATGAATTGTTAAACAGCTATTTCATAAGGATTAAAGCACTGTGCTTGACATTTTAAGGGTAAAGTTTTAATTCTCCTAAACTTTACACTACCAAGATATGTATTTGTTGATTTTGCCAATTAACAGGAAAAAAGAATCAAGTTATCACATTTAACCTGAAGCATGTACAGCACTTCAATAATTGACATCCAAACACCAGCAAGATAATGGTGTAGCTGAATAAGAGTCCCTGAGAAGAAAACCATGGTTACAAGTGAAAGCATGCATTAACAACACATTTTTCTGAATGACAAAAGAATTATACAACTGGAGAGCAACAGTTTGGATACTTTGGGTAGAAATACTATTATCTAAGTACTATTTATGACATGGAATTGATCTCAGAATTAAAACCTTTTATTATATTAATTATTACTGCTTTATAAAAGAAAAAGGACAACTTTGCCGATGGCTTTTAATCAAGATCATTTTTCCCCTGTAGTTAGCCTCCAGTTAGCCTGCAGATATAAAGCTTTGGACATGCAGGAAATAATCCTATACAGTGGCTTAGACTTGGTTGGAGTTCATATTAGAAAACAAAGGATGTGAGACATCAAGTGACAAAGCCAGCCGAAAGCTAAGAGGCGTTTAGACAGAGGGGAGAAAGACACCATGAGGCTGGGAAAGCTTCGGGTCCTCCTAATCCTGATACATCATCAAGTCCCTTGGCCTCCTCGGGACTCAGTTTCCTCCTGAAAAAGCAGGACTGTAGAGTGGTGAAAGCAGTTGTCATTTTTTAGCTAGAGTAGCACATGATGCCCCAACGTTCCAGGTTCACTTACAGTTTACAGGATCAACCCAACACATTTCCCTAGAGGATGGGTGCACAGGCTCCAGAGCGGGACCCACAGCTGTTCAGATCACAGCTCCATCACTCAGTAACTCTGTTCTCCTGATTCAGTTTCCTCGTCTGCAGTGAAGTTAATAATTCTTGGTTTTTAAAGTTGTTGTGAGATTTAAATAAGCTAATGCATGAAAATGAAACATTTGACTTTGGCCCTAGTATATAGTAAATAAATGATAAATAGCAAATTTGATTTTGGTTATTTTATTATTAACACTAACAGGGATAGAATAAGACAAAGACTAAGCTATCTCCAAAGCATCTTCTGCTCTGGTTCTGTCTTCTCTGAGGACTCGCTCTGGGAAAAATACCAGCAAGCTTCCTGAAGTCTTTCCATAGTGACAAGTGCCTGGGTATGACTAATAAGCACCAGGTGATTTGTCTTCAAAATAATAGTTTATTAGTTTAATTAATCGGGGTCTAGTTGACATCTCAAATACTGGAGAAAAATCTATGTGACATTTTTCTATTTTCATTTTTAGTATATCAGTGATTTCCAAAGGCCTTTTAATTAGCAGGAAGCTGAAAAGATATGATTAAGGTGTGTAGGCATGTTGTTTGTGACTCTCTACAAGAACTATTGATTTATCTCTTAACTGTTTTTGAAGGTCTAAAAGGTAAAACTGGACCCCTGGGCCTTGCTGGTGAAAAAGGAGACCAAGGAGAGACTGGGAAGAAAGGACCCATGGGACCAGAGGGTGAGAAAGGAGAAGTTGGCCCAGCAGGGCCTCCTGGGCCAAAGGGAGACCGAGGAGATCAAGGGGACCCAGGGCTACCTGGAGTGTGCAGATGTGGAAGCATTGTGCTTAAGTCTGCCTTTTCAGTTGGCATCACAACCAGCTACCCAGAAGAAAGGCTCCCCATCATATTTAACAAGGTCCTCTTCAACGAGGGGGAACACTACAACCCTGCTACCGGGAAGTTTATCTGCGCTTTCCCAGGGATCTATTACTTTTCTTACGATATCACCTTGGCCAATAAGCATCTAGCCATTGGGCTGGTACACAACGGGCAGTACAGAATAAGGACCTTTGATGCCAACACAGGCAACCATGACGTGGCTTCAGGGTCCACAGTCATCTACCTGCAGCCAGAAGATGAGGTCTGGCTGGAGATCTTCTTCAACGACCAGAATGGCCTCTTCTCAGACCCAGGCTGGGCAGACAGCTTATTCTCTGGATTTCTCCTCTACGTCGACACCGATTACCTAGATTCTTTATCAGAGGACGATGAGCTGTGACCCAGACCGCAGACCTGACTGTCTGCAACATGAATACCACAGTGGCTTACATTTGGAGCTCATCTGGGGGTGCTGGAAGGTGGAGCAAGGGACAAAAGGATTCCAAAAACCCTTGGACAGACAGCTCTGGCAGAATTTATCAAACTAAGACAAACCACCAACCAGCTGAAATCACAACAAAATGAACATTATAAAATAACCCCAGACATGAACCCCTTGAAAGTAATGATGACAAATATTTAAGCAAATTAAAGATAATAGTAACAAATTGAAATGCCCTGGGCGATCCAACCAGCTGGTAGTGACACTGCCTCATTAAACATTCATAAAACTCATAAAATTTTGTTCGTTATTCAGGATAACCATAGCATTATAGACGAATTCTTTGACAATTCTTAAGAGTCAAAGAAAAGTAAGAGACGCTAAGAATTTTCTAACAAATTAAAATGGAGTGATGAATCTCTTTATTCCTTTATGATTTTATATGTACCCTCACCAACTCTGTGTGTGCATGCATGCGTGTGTGTGCACATGCATGTGAGTGTGTGTATATGTGTGTATGTGTGTGCATGTATTCGTGTGCGTGTGCGTGTGTGTGTGTGTGTGTGTGTGTGTGTGTGTGTGTGTAAGCCATAAGACAATGTCAGCTATCATTCCTCAGTCACCTTCTATTTTTTCTTTGAGCCAGAGAGTTCACTGAACCTGGAGCTCACTTAATCTGTGTTGCCTGACTGGTTAGTGAGCCCCAAAGTCTCTGTTCTCATCTCTCCAGCTCAAGGATTACAAGCACATGCCCATCACACCTGGTTTCTTTTTACATGGGTTCTGAGGTATCAAACTCAGGCCCTCAGGCTTACAAAGCATGCACATCACTGCTATGATATCAAGGCAGCCCTCAGCAGCTCTTTATTGAGACTGTGCGGAGTGGACCCTAAGTTCAGAATAGACACTGGGTGCCGATCAGACCCAAGGGAGGGGGGAGAGTTACTGCTTTATTTCCAGCAGCTAGTGTGTGATGAGCACTCCTCCAAGGTTGTATGTTATGAGCGCCATAGCAAACATACTGATTCAATGCTAGGGATGCACAGGACCCAATGACTTCTGAGGTTGAAAGCCAAAGACATCACACACAGGAAGACACTAAATAGGCCAAGGTATGGTATGTTTCTATGGGTACAACTAATGCAGAGGAAAGAAATGATCAGCCTCTGCACTCTGCTTGTCCCACCTGACATGCCATTGTTATTTCAGTTGAGAATGAGTGAAAGACAGAAGTAGGGTGGTGCGGGAGAATTGTTTGTATTCTGTCAATCATGTTTTAAATCAACACTGATTGGCCAGGCAGGAGGTGTAGGCGGAAAAACCAGACAGGAAGTAGAAATGGTGCAAGGAGAGCAGGAGAATTCTGGGGAGGAGGAAGTTGATTTCTCCCACTCCTGCCCAGATCACCAAAGCAGCAGGATGTGAGCTGCCCCACTGAAAAAGGTACTGAGCCACATGGCTAACATAGATCAGAAAAATGGGTTAATCAAGATGTGAGAGTTAGCCAGTAAGAAGCCTGACCTAACGGGCCAATCAGCATTATAGCTTATGGAGTCCTCTGTGTCATTTTCTTTGGGGCTAAGCAGCTGGGGAACTGGGCAGGACAGAAATCTGAACAAGCAGGCCCGGCCTTTTCATGTTACAGTAGGGGAAGCCTGAGAAGGGAAAGAGAAGGAATGATCAGAGAGAAATAGGCATTAACCCAATGCTTTAACCTAAGTACAAAACATGTTTCTTCAGACTACCCAGGTTTAGAATGCAGCAAAAACACACATCCCCAGACTTATGAATGAGCTAGAGTGGAGAATGAACAGGGAGGAGGGAGGCTGAGTGTCAGAACAAACTAGCAGTTTTACAAGTCTCTCACTTCCTTGTTGGCATTTGCTGTCCACTGAGGTTCCGGGCTCAGTCTCAGCCATGGTTCTGTCTTGTGTACCACTCCTTAGGTCTACAGTAATGATATACTCTTTGCTTCCCCTCCCTATATTTCCCATGCATCCTTCTCCCTGCTCAGTAGGTATTTTAATGCCTGCTATGCATGAAACACCATACTAGAGTCTGTGACAATGAGAGAACGTAGCCTCGTCTCAAGCACCAGATTCCTAAGAAGAAAAGACATGGCATGCGCGTCCACACACCCATGCACAAGTCCCTGTGCTCTGGACAAGGGCATGCTAATATATGTGAAGTGTTCCATGTTTATTTCCAAATTCTGAGGTGATAGCAGAGGTCCGAAGAAATTTCTACCCAGCAGATCTTAAATGGCAAAAGGATTTGGAGTGGCCCACGTAGGGAATGAGCACACAGACTTGTAGCAATGTGGATGGATGAAAATGAGAGCTGAGGTCAGGAAGAGAAATCAGTGGATCAGTCCCAGGATGGGTACTGTATTTATGGGAGTGGGTACCAAAGTGGAGCATTACCTTCATCAAAGGTGACATGGTGATCACCTGTGTATATGAAGTCAGTTTTCAACTCCTTCCTTGAGTCCACTGTATTCTGCCTGCTGAAATCTGTCTACTTCTTGTTCTCCTGAGTTAATTCATAGGCCCGGGGGTGGGGGTGGGGGGCTAACAGCATCAAGAACAGACAAAAAAAAAAAGAGGAAAAGGTTAGTTTGAGATAGTCACTGGTCTGTAGATAATAGCCACTGCTAGAAACCCAGGAAATATAGTGTACAAACCAGCCAACAGAAAGAGGCAGTAAGGTTGCTCCAATTGTATAATCAGCACATGGTACCTATACAGACAGAAGTAGGCACTAAAACATAGCCTACTTGATAGCAGATGAACTTGCTGGAGAAATTGAAATGGAGGAACTACGCAGACTGTCTTGACCCACAAGGTTGTTATATAGTTAAAACTTTACTCTGACTGTGGCCTACTGATGCCATTCTGAACAAAGTTTTGCTAAACAGCTGAAGATAAAGTTGAACACTAGAGTGACTACTTCCCAAGTGTTGCAATTACAGCATGCAGCACCCTGCCCAGCGCATGTGGCGCTGGGGATCAAACCCAGGGCTTTGTGTATGCCCGGCAAGCATTCTACCTGTTGAGCATAGTCCCACCCTAACAAAGCATTTTTTCAACCTTGTCTTTTATATGGCTCTTCATTACAAAATCCATTTTAAGTAGATTTTTAAAGTTTTCCTTCATTGGTCTTCTGCCCAAGATGAATTTATTTTTAAATTATTAGCAGGGTGATGATGGAGGGTTAGACATCCGCTGGGGGAAATGAAAAGCAGGTTTCATATTAAAATGATAAAATAAAAAAAAACCTTTCAGGAAATACTTGTGTCTTTTAGTCCTTAAAAAAATTCTCGGGCATCATTTTTCTACATCTGTGGATATTTTTGTAAAGAAGGAGAAGACTGGCTTGTTTCTAAAAACAATCCACGGCTCATTCCTATCATTCTTGGTAAGGATACCTTGTAATGAGAATGTAGCAAGCCACATTGCTACTTTATAAACTTCCTCATTCTGGAATGTAATGAGCCCTCAGAAGACACTGGATCTGTCAGCAACTGACCTTGGACATCCCGGGCTTCAGATGTATAAGAAATAAATCTGGTTGTTTATAGGTATTTAGTTTGGGGTCTTTGTTATGGAAGCCCAGTTGAACTAAGACAGTCCTGACAGCAACTATGTCCTCGTTGTACAAATGGAGAAAAAAGGGAACAGAGAAGATCAGAAATGTATGAAGCAAATCATATGTGCAGAGTAAGCCCAGGTAGTGGTGTGGCCTTTGAAGGCACCACAGGCATGGATATCAACATGGCCCCTGGCTGGGATAGGAGCAGGGACCTGCACATGGTCCTTAGCACAGGCACAGATGTCACCATAGATGCTCAGGATCTAGAGCATATCCTGTGACCATGGAGGTGTCTGAGGGCCATGCTGCTGCCGAGGTCATGCCCATCTGGATGGCCTGCACTGCCACACGAGGCCATGGTGTCATCTGGGCCCCTACAGCTGCCTAGGACCATGTCTGGGCTCCTGGCCCAGCAGTAAGCAGGGTCTGAGCTGTCGTCCATGGCTCCCGTGACCATCAAGGGCTGTGGGATGCCTAGAGTCTGAGCAGTTACCTGAGACCATGTTGGTGTCTCGGGGCTTTGCTGCCACCAGGACCATACTGATCTGAGTGGCCTACACTGCCACCAGGGCCATGTTAATGTCCAAGTCAGAGCAGAATGTGGGCCACGGGTCATGTCTGGATCTGTGTTCCTGCTACAACTCAGGTCTGTGATGATGTCTATGGCTCATGTTGCCACAGGGAGTCATAACAACCATGTGTGTTGAAATCTGAGGGCCATGCAGAACCAGCCCACCCCTCACTGGCTCTGGAGGTGACCCTACTTCTCACTGGACTGCAGCAGGAGAGATGGCCCTTCCACCAAGGGAGAGCTGCTCCCTAGCACTTAAGGAGAGGTGGCCCCAGCCCTTACCACAGGTATGGAAGAGCTGGAAAGGGCCTAGGATAGCTGTCTCTGCCCCTCGCCTGAGGTCGGTGGTCCCAGTGGCCCAGACTGACCAGGTCAGCTACCACCCAGACCCATATCCGAGGCCTTGGGTTAGCTCATTCTAACATCTAACCCACCTGTGGCCTGCTGAAGAATGTGAAGAGATTGGTCCTATGGAATTATAGCTGCAGGTTCCCCATGACTCGGGGCTATCCGAGAGGAGTTTTGGTGAGGGTCCAGTGATGATGGTGTGCCTGAGGCCTTGAACCAAACTCATGGCAATGAACATTTTTGTGGGTGGAGCTGATTGGACAGAGGGTATGCCATGTGTCACACTGCAGTACCCAATGTCACTAAGATAAATTCAGAGGTGTTGAAAACAACAGAGGAGCAAGGTAGGCTTTTGTTTGTTTGTTGTTTGTTTGTTTTGTTTTGTTTTCAATTGATTTGGGGGTTCTTTGGGGGAAGATGATGAAGGGATGAGGGGAGAATATGGAGGGACTGGGAAGCTATTCCCAAAGAATCAATAGAGTTTTTTTTTAATCTCTTTATAGAATCAGAAGGGCCAGTAAATCCAGTTTGTTCCTTGGAGAACATAACACCAGCACTGAAGAACCAGCCTAGGTCAGGAACTACCGTGCTGGCTGGCCAGAGAGAGAAACAACTGCCTACAGATACCAACTGTAACCACTTACTGGATGTACCCTTTGTAGATGGTGTCATGCTGGGTGTTTGTAATATGTACTTCATTTGATGCGGGGGGTGGGGGTGGGGATATGTTATTGGCATATGTTCTAACTTCTAGAGAAAATTGAGTACCACACCCACATCCATCATTAAAAGAGGGAAGACGGCAAGGACATATTAGGCAGCTGGTACTTTAGAATGCATGAGGTCAATGTCTCTTGAGGCCACATACCAACATCTCTGACTCCTGAACATGTTACTTGGATACCAA